GGGGGGGGAGCAATCCACGTGGTATGCTGTCTCTCACACTTTTTTTTTCTGAAAAAACCTCCGTAATATTATTTTGGACAAGCAAATGAAACATGGTTGCAGAAGAACGCAAATGCGAACCCACAGAGTGACAACTCTCTCAAATCGACGACCACAATCCACAACGTGAGTGGGAAAGGATGGTCGGGGCAGTGGGGGAGTAGGGTCGGTGCAGTGGGGGAGAAAGGTCGGTGCAGTGGGGAAGGAGGATCGGCGCAGGGGATGAGGAGGGTTGGTGCACTGGGCGAGCAGCGTGGGCACAGTAGGGGAGGAGGGTCGGTGCACTTGGGGAGTAGGGTCGACTCAGACGAGGAGGAGAGTCGGCTTAGTCGGGGAGGAGGTTGGGTGCAGTGGGAAAGGAGGATTGGCGCAGTGGGTGAGGAGAGTCGGCGAGAATGGTCGGTGCAGTGGGGGAGGAGGGTCGGCACAGTTGTCGGGGAGTAGGTTCTACGCAGTGGGAGAGGAGGGTTGGCGCAGGGGTCAGGAGGCTCGGCGCCGTGGGGGAGGAGGCTGGGATCGGGGGAGGGAAGCCGGGATCGGGAGAGAGTTGGGGATCGATGGAGGAACGTCGAGATCGGGGGAGAGAGGTGGGGATCAATGAAGGGAAGTAGGGGGAGGCACGCTGGGATGGGAAAGGAAGTCGGCGAAGGGAGGTCAGGGGAGGGAGGTCGGGGGAGGGAGGTCGGCGGAGGGAGGTCGGCAAAGGGAAGGCGGAGTAGGACATCGGAGTAGAGACGTTGGGGGAGGGAGGGGAGTCGGGATAGGAAGGGAAGGCGTGGGCGGGGGGTCAGTGCAGGGAGGGAAGTTGGGATGGGAAGGGGGATCGGGGGAGGGGGGTCGGGGAATGGAGGTCGGCGGAGGGAATTCGGGGCAGCGAAGTCGACATGGGGAGGGAAGTCGGGGAAGGGAGGTCAGCGGAGGGAAGTCGGTAGAAAGAAGTCGGGGAAGGGAAGGGGACTGGGGACATGGGGGGGTTGAATTGCGGGGAGGGAGGTCTCTCTCTCTCTCTCTGACACACACACACTCAGAGAGAGAGAGAGAGAGAGAGAGAGAGAGAGAGAGAGAGAGAGAGAGAGAGAGAGAGAGAGAGAGAGAGAGAGAGAGAGA